GACGCCTCTGAGCTAAATTCAAATCGCCTGTTTCTCGCCCAAGATACACCTCCTTTCTCCGCTAGTTGTGGAAGTAGCGTAGCGTAGTGAAGTAGTGTAGTGAAAGGAGCGTAGCGAAATTTGCGTGGTCAGACGGACGGCAGGCCTAATGGCCTGAGTCTCGCCGCGTAAAATAAGGCATTCAATTCAATTCAAAAATTCAATTGATTTCCGCGAGGGTGCGGGCACTAGGCCGGCACGGACGGGTCAGGACGGGACGGGACGATCCGCGCCTTCCACCATTGCAAAAAGTCCCGAGGAAAGATCTGGATATTCCAACGTGCCGATGACGTCATCGGCACGGCTGTATCAGTTGTGAGGTTGTGCGAAGCGTGAGGAGCGTTCATGAATGCGACCAATGTAATTATGTTGTTCCAGAATTACTCCGAGTTGTTCATCATCATATTAAGTTTTATTCAATGCGTTGTTTTGTAAGGAAGTGTAATTTAATTTGTTAGCTCAAGTATCTGAATCAGGAAGTACCATTTGACAAATTTTATTTTTTATGTATTTATAAGGAGCTGTGCAGAGTTGGTGAAACTTGGTTGGCTTTTGGTGAATAAATTATGTCATGTTTTGAAATGATTCATTAGTTCATTAATCATTGTAATTTTTTGTATGTCTTGCGAAAAGTATAATGCCTATTAGTTTCTAAATAAAGTATGCAGTTATGAGACCGTCCCTTAATTCAAAATTGTGTTACCATATATTTATTTATATCTTATATTTTTCAAAATATCCAATTTAGCTCCAAATGTATCGTGAGTCATCCTAAAGAACTGAATTAAGTTATTTTTTATCTTCCAGCAGGTCGTGATATAATATGTAAAATTCCCCTTTTGTCATTATTGTCCTGTTTAGAAGAGAAGAGAATTTGGATGTTCTTCTACTTCTGGCCTAATTTCCTTCTTCTGCTATTAAAAACTAATTCAATGTGATTGATTTTTTATTTAAACAGCGAAACACTCCCTCGCAATACAAGACACGGCGCGAAGTGTCCGTGTCGTCCTGTCCTAGTACGCGCGACCCACACAAAACCCGCCGACTTTGCGGACCCGTCCGGCGATGCCGTACCGATCCAGTGCGCCTGTACCTTTACGGGAACATTGGAAAATCACTTTGGATGAACTTTGGGAGAACATTTGAGAGAGAGCGAACGGAAACATTGGGAAATCATTTTAAAGGTACTTTGGGAGAACATTTAAAAAAAAACTTTCGGAAACATTGGGAAATCATTTCGGAGGAACGTTTGGAAGAACGTTGAGAAAATATTGGGAAGCATTTGGGGAATATCTAGAAGAAATCTGGGAGAATATCTGTAAGAATGTGTAGAAGAACATGTAAGAGAATATTTGGGATGAACATGTGAGGAAATATGTAGATCATATGGGGATTGTATGGAGATTCATATCTGACTACACAACACAAACGAGTGGTGACCATGCGATGGGGTTATAGAGTGGAGCATGTGGAGCGAAGAATTCGCTCTTATGAAAATCCCTACTGTATAGCGGGTTGGTCAGATACGAACAGAAAATAGAAATTCAAGTCAAATTAATTAGATTAGGCATTAATTAGATGCCCGTCACGACGAGCCTAAAATGCTTCAATGTACAGTTTACGTTCTGGTCTGATATTGGCATTCAGTATGAATCTATTTTCACTTTTAAAACAATGGTTTACAAAGGGTGGAATGTTCGCACGGCTCCAGCTAGCTTTTATACGTGTGTTTTAAAATGCATGATTGCAAAATTAAGCATGGTTAGCTGATGAGAGTGGTATTTTTGATTGGAAATGCACGCTCTAAATATAGTACATTTCCCTGCATCTTCTTCAAGTACGTTGTGTTTTAACTGTTTTCTGAAGTTTACAAAATAAATACCTTCAATGCGTAGAGTAGTTTTACTTTCCTGGAAAGAATACATACCTAACATGATCAACCGTCAAAAATATGTACTTAAATAATACTTTTTGAGGCACCGAAAAAGTATTGCAAACTGAGCATTTCTTTACCTTTTCTATTTCAAAAGATTTCAACTTGCTGCATCATTATCATTTATATTCAACTGTGTAGTGCTTCAGATCGTAAAAACAAAGACATGGCTAGAAAGCAAATAATATGCACAAATATGTAAGTTCATGAGTGTACTACTCAGTGAGAAAAATTCTGATGAACAAAATGTTGACCAGTTGGTAGTAATGTTAATAATCTATTTTTCACTTGTTTTTTATTTGCAAATAAATTACTATGCTTATGTATTTATCTTGAATTATGTACCTCCAAATATTAAATTAACATTTTACTTTTAAGGACAGATGGTTTATTTTGACAAAAACGCGATTTTTTGTTTTCTTAATCAAACATGTTTTTATCTTTCCTCTTCAAGAATGTATATACTTTTTTCACATTCGGAAAATTTAAATGGTTTAAATAGAAATTTAAATCTACATGTGCACACTTTTCAAATAGGTTACGCCCACTTTCTCTGTTCCAATTCTGTTCTTCATCATTTGTAGGATAATTTCGGGTTGTTTTTGTGAAGAACATCTTCTTTAGGGTATATTGGCAACTCTGTAAAAATGTGATGCTCTATTGTCTTCGTTCACGGAACTTGTATAGTTGTTTCTGCTTACATTTTTGGCTATGCGAGTTGTGTTTTTTCTCACGTTTTGTTGCTAAGACAATTCTTTTCCTCATTACAATGGGTAGATAAAGAAATCTGGCAAACAAACTTCTATGGTTTTATGGCAATCGTTTGTCAAGAAAACGAGTGAAAATAAAGTTGATGTTTTCACGGAAACAATTGTAACACATGGTGCAAGATCCGTGCCATCGACTTCACGAAAAGTTATTTCACTTACTAGCTGAAGACAGAGTTTTTCATGTAAATAGTAGACACGGTGGTTACTTGATTGTTAATGTTATTGTAGTGGCTAAGTTCTTAAAATATTTTGTTGTGTGTAAATGTTTATGTACCAGATAGGTGTTGACATATGTGGTGAGTGGTATGCATAGCCAAAATTTTAACATGTTTTTTATCAGAAGTATCTAATTTTTTCACATTCAAGTGCAATTTTATCAAAAAGTGTGTATCCTATGTAAAACTTTGTAGACTTATTAAATGTCAACATTTATTGCTTGTGAACTATAAATTAAAGTTGCGTGTTTAAAAAGTTTCAAAATCTTGATATTTTACATACGTAAAATTTTGAAAAAAATCTTTCATTGTCTTCACAATTTGTTTCTTCATTAACTATGCTTAACAGAGTGTAGAAAAATAGTT